TGTTTTTTTTTTAACCATAATTCTCAATGGATTTCTGCAGTGCACAATTTTTTTTTACAGTTGTTTTTAATCAAAGAAAATATATCTGATGTGTAGCATTACAGTTTTCTATAGTTTATTATTATTATTATTATTGGCAATGTATGTAATTGTCATGAAAATAATGAAGTTGAATAATTATATGTTCCTTTATTTTCCTCAAGGAAAATATCCCCATAGACTCTGGGATGAAATATAACCTGGAGCTGTTCTTGAGAGGTTTGTATTAGAATGGATTCCATGATGCTCTTCACTTTTCCAAAAACACTCCTTTTTCCCAGAAACAACATAATCTACCCTAAGAACAAGCAGTATAGTTCTGTAAGAAACCTGTCACCCTTCTGTGTCATGACCCAGCAGCTCAGGCCCGGCCTGCTCTAGAGACACACAGTTGCAGTTCTCCAGGGAATTTCTTTGAAACAGTCTTCCAAAGCTTTTTAAGCATCTTAGCCTCTCGCCGGCTTCCAAAACAACATAATCACTTTGATTCAGCCACAGTTACTGCTGCGCGGCGCGAGCACAACACGGCAGCCGAGCAAAGAGACTCTATTAATTAAAACGTGCGGATTAAAGATTTATGGTTTATTTTGGGAATAATTTCATAAACTGGGATCACCATTTAATTACAAAATTGGTGGATTTGGTGAGTATTACGGAAAACATTGTGGAAAATGTTTCATAAACCCTTCGGCAGAGCTGACCTGGAAAGCAAAGACTTCCAGTAACCAAGCAATGATTATTTAATTACAATATGATTGATATGTGACCCTGGAGCACAAAACCAGTCTTAAGTCACTGGGGTATATTTGTAGCAATAGCCAACAATACATTGTATGGGTTCAAAATTATCGATTTTTCTTTTATGCCAAAAATCATTAGGATATTAAGTAAAGATCATGTTCCATGAAGATATTTTGTAAATTTCCTACCGTAAATATATCAAAATTTAATTTCTGATTAGTAATATGCATTGCTAAGAACTTCATTTGGACAACTTAAAAAGGCGATTTCCTCAATATTTAGATTTTTTTGCACCCTCAGATTCCAGATTTTCAAATAGTTGTATCTCAGCCAAATATTGTCCTATCCTAACAAACCATACATCAATGGAAAGCTTATTTATTCAAAATTCTAAATCTATCTATCCATAAAAAACAACGAAAAAGAACCAGACAGACAGACAGATAGGAAAGAAAATGTGTTTCTATCTAGTGGTGTCAACGCTAAATTGGTCTGGTTGATTTCATATTGCTCTCAATATGACAGCTGTGTCTCCCCCTGCATTACACGTCATTGATTGGACCCCCCCACCTCCCCTCCACATCCACCCCCTTTTGACAGCTCTCGGGGACGCGCTCCGACGCGAACACTGCGGTTTGAGAAGAGCCCACCTCCATGTGAATGCGTGCGTGCTCGCCACCCTTCTGTTGGTCTCTCTCCGGAGCGTGCACGCAGGCGTTTATCCCCACCTCTCAATATATTTCCAGCGTCTGCTGGACTTGTACAGACACCGCGTCGGATTGCGAATACAGATGGAGATCTCACTGATGCCTGATGGCCACCGGCGCACACAAGTCAACTATAATACACTGGCATGTGTCACGAGTGCCAAGCTGTGCGCTGATGGGGAGCATAGAGGAACCGGCTGAGAAAGAGATTTGTTTGGACATCACAGGAAAAGCTGCCCGTGGAAATGAGTCCTGAAGAGAAACCAAAGAGGCACTTTACCACTGTGAGTCTGTGGAGAGAGAAGTGCAGACTTTCTGTCTTCTCTACGAGGAAAGGAATCTTAAATGACTTCTGACCATCGAGGTGATTTCATTCTTCATTTGAATTATTTTACAACGTGCATTGATATAAATGGCTTAAACTGGTTTCAAACAGCCAAACCTGAATTAAGATCACAGTGTTTTAAGTCTATGGAAATATACTGGACATACAGTCATTTATGCATCTTGAATGATAAGTTAATCCATATGCGCAATCTTCATGATTTGTATCCCGTTCCGCACGTTTAATTCGCAATAGAAGCGCCTGCAAGATCCGGAGCGGGAACTCAGGAAAGGTCGGTGCTCCAGTCAAGAGAATATTAACGCGACAGGCCGTTTTAGAAAGAAGACTGGCTGAATTTTTCTACGTATTTTTTAACAGTAACGCTGTTGTTGCCTTTATGTCCGTCTGACAGGACGCGGAGTCTCCAGTGAACGCTTATTCTGAATCTGAAGAACAAAAGAGGGCGGAAGGTTTATTTTTAAGAACCCGCGTTGAGTTATTTTTCTTAAGTAGCCTAAATAATATGGAAACACATCATGTTTTTCAGTTTGGACTGTTTTTTTTTGTTGTTGACATACTCATCCCCTGCTGGACTTTTTTAATGTTTATTTGATCAAGAGTTTTTGGACTTTATTATGTATGACTGTGTTGGATATGATGAATGCCATAACTTACGTCAAGCATAAATGCTGACAGTCCTCTAAATGGTCTCATAAATACAATTTTCTTCTTGAAAACCAATGTAGTGTCTCATTTATGGGGAAAATTGTGCAATTGGCATCAAAATGGAGTTAAGAAGTTCCCTGAGGAGTCAAAGCAAACAGTCCTTGACTTGAGTCTTCATTTTTGTGGTGTTATTATGTAACTTTGATTCATCAGTGAGAGAACATTTTTGATTCACTTGTAGTAAATTGAAAGATTCCATGCGTTTTGGATAAACCTCTCCGACCCATGTGCGTCAAGAAAGACAGAAGAGAAGAGGAATCTGCTATTGACGTCATGAGGTGAAATAACCAAAACTCAAAATCCTGGATCTGTCTAAAGGCATGAGTAAATTTTTCGTCATCTAGTCGTCAGAGCTGTTTGGCACCATCTCCATTTGTTTACCCTTCTTGACTCTTTTTCCACCCAAACATCGTATTTTCATCATTTCTCCCAGCTTGCCTCTGATCTGAATGGTATCATGGCTTCTCCTCAACATCAACATCTGCTGTTTCACAACAGCGAAGTAAGCTGCGACTCCAGCGGCGATGGTGCCGTGTCTGTGCGGATCAGCGGCGCCAAGCCGCACAAACAGCAGCGTGGGAGTCTGGGCGCCAGCGCCATGTGCAGCATCATCGGGGGCTCCAAACATTGCAAGTACAGCATCTCCTCCAGCTGTAGCTCAGGCGAATCCGCCATCCGCAAACCAGTGGTCAAAGGCCTCCGGACTCAAAGGAAGATGCCACAGCTGTTCGAAAGGTCGGCTGGACATTTCTGGAACCCCAAGTTTGACTCCAACATTCTGGAGGAAGCCTGCCGCGAGCGCTGCTTCCCTCAAACGCAACGGCGTTTCCGCTGTGTGTTGTTTTACTTGGCGGCCGCCAGCCTCCTCTGGGGGTTGTTCTTCATCGCTAATGCTAATCGATGTGAACGGACTGCCTTCTTATTGCCCACGGCTGCCTTCCTACTCCTCTGTTCTGTCCTGTTCGTCTTCACGTTCACCCGGTTCTACGTCCACTGCTACAATCAAGCCTCGCTGTTGCTCATCGTGGTGACATTTGCCCTCACTCTTGCACCTCAGATCCAGACTTCAGGCTTTAGTGATTTTAATGTTCCTCCTTTGAAGGATGAAGAGGACGCAGGCGACTTCAGTGGCGCCGAGGATAAAAACCTGACGTTTGAAGCCACCCGCAGTGGAGGTCCAGTTGCTCCTTGTTTGTCCCCAGTTGGCACCTTCTCTCTAGGCATGGAGGTGCTTTCGTTGCTCTACAGTTTCCTCCATGTCCGTTTGTACGCTTCGCTCCTGCTCGGCTTGCTCTACTCAGTGCTTTTTGAGACTCTTGGCTGGATGCATTTGATTCAAGGCAATGGCTGGAGGAACTCCACTGAGGAACATTTGGAAACGCTCTACTGGCTGATCCCAGGAAGGGTCATTTTGCATCTCTGCGCCCACGTCATTGGCATCCACCTTTTTATTATGTCCGAAGTGCGTTCACGCAGCACGTTCCTCAAGGTCGGCCAAGCCATCATGCATGGGAAAGACTTGGAGGTGGAAAAGGCCCTAAAGGAGCGGATGATCCACTCGGTGATGCCTCGTAGGGTGGCTGATGAGCTCATGAAGCAGAGTGATGACGACAATGACAATTCGGTTAAGCGCTACTCGACGGGAGCGGTCATTGCAGGCGCCTCCAGCCCAAGGAGCACCAAACGCAAGAAGACATCGATACCTCGAGGCCAGATCATCTTTCGGCCATTCAACATGAAACGCATGGAGCCGGTCAGCATCCTGTTCGCGGACATTGTGGGATTCACCAAGATGAGCGCCAATAAGTCGGCGCATGCCCTAGTGGGACTCCTCAACGACTTATTCGGACGCTTCGATCGCCTGTGTGAGCTCACGTGTTGCGAGAAGATCAGCACGCTGGGAGATTGTTACTATTGCGTGGCCGGTTGTCCTGAACCAAGAGAGGACCACGCCTACTGCTGTGTAGAGATGGGGCTTGGGATGATCCAGGCCATTGAGCAGTTCTGTCAAGAAAAGACAGAGATGGTGAACATGCGTGTTGGCGTCCACACTGGCACCGTGCTTTGCGGGATCCTCGGCATGAAGCGCTTTAAGTTCGACGTCTGGTCCAACGATGTCAACCTAGCCAATCTTATGGAGCAGTTGGGTGTTGCCGGGAAGGTTCACCTTTCGGAGGCCACGGACAAGTTTTTGGATGACCGGTACTTGCGAGAAGACGGGCGAGTTACAGAAAGGATCGGACCAAGTGTGGTTGCAGATCAGCTTAAAGGTAAGATGTGCATTTCTAGTAACTAACACAGTGTACATGAGTATGTTTCCTTGTTTAGCGCTGTGCGTAATCTTTGTTGCGAGGACTGAGTGGGACACTTTTGGCTCTTGACTCATGTAGCTGTTAAATATTTCTTGCTGCATTGAAACTTTATTCTTCAGCCTGAGTATTGTCAGTGTCCTCAGTGTTCACTTGTCGAAGCGTTTTGTTGAATCTTTGCCCCTGCGGTTTCTGTGACATATTCGGTTAACGGAGCAGGTCTTTTAGGCAGTAACATGCTGTCTAACCTTTTCCGCAGCCTTCAGAAAGGGACTATTACAGATTTGTACAGTCAGTTTTTTCTCAAAAAAGGCCTGTCATTTTCTACGTATGATCGTGTTTTCCGTTCAGTGGTCAACAAAGCAAAATTAGCATTTGCAAGAGGCAAATTAGCAAAAATCCAGTCATGTTAGCATACAATGTAATGTTTGCAAACATTTGTTGCATATATATCCTTTCATTTAAAGGGATAGTACACCCCAAAAATGAAAATGGTCATTTACTAACCCTCTTGTAGTTTCATATGCATGACTTACTTTTGTGGAACACAAAAAGAGAGATTAAAAAAAGTCAGCGTTCATTTATATATTTTCCACAGATGCAATTAAGTCATAGGCCTACCGGTATGGAACAACATAAGGGTGTGAGTAAATGCACTGTTATATAATATTAATTATTTATATTGGTTTTAGTTTAAGTTTTAGTATTTTATGTGCATTTTTATATGCTACTTTTAATATAATTTTTTGGCTTTAATTTATTTAAACTTTAGTCATTTTAAATTTATATTAAATTTAAATTTTATATGTAAATCATTGGTCTCAAACTCAATTCCTGGATGGCCACAGCTCTGCACAGTTTTGCTCCAACCCTAATCAAACACACCTGATCCAGCTAATCAAGGTCTTCAGGATCACTAGAAACTTCCAAGCAGGTGTGATTTGGAGCTGGTTGAAGCTAAACTCTGCAGAGCTGTGGCACTCCAGGAATTGAGTTTGAGACCACTGCTGAAAATGATGACAATTTTTAATTTTTGAGTGAACTGTCCCTTTAATAGCTGTAATAAATCAGCTCAAAAGGGAAATATTTATGACTAATTATAACTGGTTATGATTAATAATACATATTTAGATTAGATCTTAGAATTAACTGTAGCAGAATCAATATTTATATATATTTGTAACTGATTAATTATTGTCTAAATAAAGAAAAGGTCTTTATGTGTGTGTGTGTGTGTGTTATGTGAGCCTGTGGTAGTTTGCTGATCAGCCAGGCCCATCGGAGCCTGGCACCGGGGGGGTCATTTACTTGTCTTTGGAAACTGTTTGAAGTCAGTTGGGGAGATGATAGTGGTGGACTGCTTAGCATCTCCTTGATAGTGGGGAGAATTATTTGGCAATTTAGCCCCCATATAAATGTAAAGTCTGTGACCAGGACTGTAATTTATATGCAAATGTCAAAGGCTAAAAGGGGTCTCTTAAGCCATAAACCCCAAAGACCATGCATGATTTTACGTAGACGCTACATAGCTAATAAAGAGATTCATGTTGGAGATTTGTCGATTCATTTTGTCTTGCAAAAGGGTTGTAACTTTCTCTGTTACCTGATTTCATGCGCTTTCGGATCAACAATCAACAAAGAAAAATTAGCATTTGCAAATTAGCAACCTTTTTTTGCATGCTAATAAGGTTAGCATGCAAGCTGTATTTGTACATTAGTTTCTTCTGCATATTTTGAATTTCAAACTAACCTCTCCTTTCGCTTAATGGCTGGTCACCTCACTTACACCAAGTATTGGATTCTCAAAGCACTTGACATTTTTATAAATGTGGCCGAAGGTTAGCATTTTTATGTAATTAACTTATGCAAATGGTTCCTTCGTTTTGTTAATTGTACTTGAGCTCAAGCAAAAGCCAATAATTGGGCGTTGAGTGATACATTTTCCTAGCCGTACGGAATATGAATGTCCCAACGTGTTATGAATCCTTTCAGGTCATAATTATGGTTACTTAATAGATCGTCTTCATTTAATGAGGAATGCCAGACTGTAATTAATATCAAATGGAATTCTCATTTTGACAGTATTGATAACGGGTCGAATGACTAAACCTCTTATAATATTAGCAAAGTGGCATATTCAGGTTTTTAAGGAGCCAAAACTGACTCATGCGTTTCCACAGGACTTTTGACATCTTTATCCGCCATGCTAAAATCTAAGCGCTGAAGGATCCCAAACGCCTGTTTGTGAGTGGATAAAGTCACTTGGCGAAACCGAAATCGCTGTGCCAGAACAAATCTCTATGCTGTCACAGCATCATCTCGCCGTGGCAGCGCAGGTGTCTCTGTAGGTCCTGTGGGTCAACTGGAATTGACGGCGCGGCTGTCGCCCTTGAGAGACTCGCTTCATTTCGCTGGTGTTAGTTGCCAGCACTCCCTCTCAATCAGAGAGGATTTGAGTCTCTTGAGGAACTCTGCTTCATTTTTTTTACTCCGTCATTCCCTCAGCCTTCGTTTAAAAGGGTTAAATGACCTCCTTAATATGGTCCCATGGTGCTCGTTTCTGAATATCTGTCAGTTCCTCTCTCAATTTCTTTCCTTCACTCTCTGTTTTTGTGTGCCACTCAGTACTGTAGTCTTTCCAGTGGATAGTTTAGGGTTTTTTTTTTTTTACAGTTTCATGACTCAGAATGGTACAGTAAGGTTAAGCGTAACATTGCATAACAACCTTTCTTTTTCTAACACCACTGAAGTCTCTGTTGAATTCACTGCATCTCATTTCGCTCGGTTTAACACACACTGTACCCGAGGCCTGAAGCTTTAATATATGACTTCCTTTCTTTAATCATCAACAAAATGATTAAAGTGGTGACATTCTTTCCTTCATATCTTGTATTCAGTTGATTGCCCCTCTTCAGGCGTTTCTGTTTTTTCTTTTTTTCCTCCCGTTCACTGGCTGAAAGCTTAATTTTCCCACTCCGGAGTGAGCGTATTCAGCGCTCAGGATTTATCTTTCCCTCATGGATTTGCAGGCCCATTGAATGAGCTCTCCGTCAAGAGAGACTTCGACTCCAGTACGGCAAAAAATCTTCCAGCTGCTCGCAGTAGCTACGTAAATCACCGAAGGAAAGTAGTGAGCTTGTGTGGAAACCTGGCAGACCTGGGAATAGAGACTGGCTGGGTCTCGAGTAAATCACACTGACCTGGACGCTAATCACAAAACGGCAGTCTCTCTTCAGACGCGATGTTCTTTTGAATTGGACATGTGTTTAAATGAAAGCATTGTTTGTGCTGACTCTCGCTGCAAGGTCTTTCAGTTTGCTGGTGAAATCAAGCTGCGCAAACCAACAAAAACAGCACACCTGGGTCCTTCCTACTGTGCAGTACATTTTCATGTGAAATCAAACCATGAAACCAAGAGCCCATCAAATCTAATTTTTTTTGTTGTTGCTGCTTTTAAGTCCTTGTATGTTAGCTTTTGAAGTCGTCTATATGTTAGTGTACTGCTGAAAGACCAAATTAATTTATATATAATTTTAAAATGTACAGTTCTTCTGCTTTTGTGAAAATTAGCCAGATATATAAATATTTTCTTATTTATAGATAATATTTTGGATAAAATACACTACAAATGCTAAAATTATTATTATTTGCAGGGCTGCACGATTAATCGAAAGGCGATAAATCGTGATTAGGCAGAAGCTGCGATTGGCATGCGTATCTTTCAGTGAAGCACGGTTCTGTGATCAGCAGTAAATCTCCATCCGAAGGCCAGAGGGCGCTCTCGCGCTGAAACTCCAAATACGCCTCGCAGAAGAAACCCAGGAAATGCCTATAGCTGCAGCTGAATAAACAGAAGATTCAACTGCTTTCATTGATTCAACGTGACTACCATAGTTCACTGACAAGCTATGCAAACAACTTTCATAATCGCAGAACGATATCTTTGATTTCATAAACGTGCAATAATATCGTCTGCGATTATGAATGCGATTTTGCGTAGCTTGTCAGAGAACTATGGCTCTGTGTAGTAAACGCTGCTCCATCTGAAAGCACGTGCTGGATATTTACTACTAATCACAGAACCGGCTTTACTGACAAGATACGCATGACAATCACATGCGATTAATCGTGCAGCCCTAGTAATTTGTTTATAGTTTTTGTTGTTGTTTTGACTGTGTCCCCAAATATCACCTTCCATCCTGTTTTTATTTCAGTCTTCTGTAAATTCTAACAAAAGCCAGTGAATGACATCATCTTCCAGGAAGTGATATCAATTTGGTGGGAAAACAACAGCAGTATTAGCAATGGATTTGATGCTTTCTGTTATGGTGTCTCACTATAAAACATCCATGTTTGTTACTATAAATATTTTTTTGTTTGTTTGTTTTGAAGACATTTTGTTTTGTTTGCCTAACAGGAACAACCCACCACCAATCGTCAATGCTAATGCTAGGAAAACAGGTCTGAAGTAAATAGATAAATGTGTACTTATACAGTCGCCTCCAGTGAGGCACTAGTCAAGAAAAACAATATCCCGACCTCACACGCTCTTGTATTGCGTGCAAGCGGTGAATAAGTCACTGTCGTTTCTACAATGCTGTCTGGTGCACTTCCAATAAACCACAGTCTGCTTTATAAATAGCAAAAATAAGAATAGTCATAACTGCTGCCCTGGATAAACAACACCAGGCGATGCATCGCCCAAGGGAGGACGAGGCCTGACCCTTCGGCTGCTTTTTGGAAAACAAGTGCATTTCTTGTGGCTCCATGATGAGAGATTAAAGCGTTTAATAATATAACTTCTTAGCACAAGTGTTCTTGAGTGTCACGGTGGCATGTATCTTTGTGCCTTCCACATCCCGTTCCCTCTGGCGCTTCCGACTTCCCACTGCATGAGTGTGTGTGTGTGTGCTGGCCCTTGTTGTGTGGAGTGCTCGTTTGAGTGGAAATGGTGGCTATTT